CAATATGTTTTGAAATCTATGCAGTTTCTATAATGGACATTTCCATGAACTTTTTGAACACCCTTATATACCAATCTAGTTTGTTGGTAATTTTCTTACAGAGAACGACAAAATTGTCTTAACATTATTTTTTAATAACTGAACCTCTTCATAGGACATTCTATTGTCATTCGTCAAAACGCTAAAGCAAGAAAAAAAAATTGTGCTATCACCTTGAGTAGTAATCCAAGTTTTCCGGTTTGCAAAGACAAGTGACTCATTTAGACTGAAGAAACAAGTCTGCCTTTCAGACATTCATTGATTTTAAATTAAAAAACCAACAGCTATGTTTTACATTAAGAATGACAACTAAATAACAGAGTAGACCTCACTTAGGGTTGTTTGTGGCAACTCCATCACAGGTGTCTGAAGGAAAGCAGGGAGGGGCAGGCCTAAATAGGGTATCTCACTAATCAATAATCCAGACTTCTCGATGTGCTGTAGCAGATAGTCAGTTTTTGATAGAATTATTGAAATACAGCCAGCTGTTTCCTTAGGACTCAGGTCTTCAGGTTCACTGCTGGTGAGTTTAACTTTCCTTTCCTTGAACATTGGTTTCTTTTCTCTTCTATGGCTATGGGCTATCAAATGGGAAAAAGGTTTAGAAGAGGGAGTTGTTCTGAAGTTTGATTTTCACTATCTTTATAAACACTCCTTCCTAATAAATTTTAAATAGGATAAAAAATAAAGTTGTAAAGGCAATGTTAGCCTCAGAGAGTGATTTGCAAGCATTTAGAACACTCCAGGCATCCACAGCTGCTGCAAGAACAATGTCCTATTCATAGTCACAGTGAGCAATTCTATGTAACATTCACCCGAGTATTTCTTCTAATTATTTCTAAAAGTGTGTTTATTAATGGGGGTTCTCCTGGTGATAATTGTCTGGCTTAATTTGAACTATAAATGCATCTGAAATAAAACCAGGCTATATTTTTAATAATCTAGAATTATGACCATTCATGGACTACCTTTCCACCCTATTCCACATCCTTACCTAGTTGCACCAATACAAAGTTTTATTATGCAGCAACTTTGTACTATGCTGAAGTCATTATAACTAAAATGAGTACTCCAAGAGGAAATATGTGCCTAGATTATTGGAAACCTTACTGACATCTCCTCTCTTCCTTCTCAACTCCGCCAAACCCGAGTTCCCTACCAGCAGCTGGTGAATCCAGACCTTTTCTCTCCTATAAAACCTATAATGACCCCACATCCTCAGTACAGTCGAAACACCTTCCTGGACATCTGTGGCATATATGGCCCCATGACCCAGCCCCAGCATTCTCCATCCGTAACATATAGTCCCATGTCAGATCATGGCCCTGCAGACATCATGAACTACTCATAGTTTTCTGGACAGAGCAGACTCTTTGCCACTCAGAAATTCTTTCTGAATCTGTATGAAATTTATATACTTTAAATAAAATTGTAAAAAAAAGATTTAATTGAAAAAGACTGCTTTGTTACTGTCCATTTCAGGGACTTTGTGAAATTGCTTGCTAGGTTAGCTTTCAATTTTAATCACATATCAGAGTTTGAAAAAGGCTCAGAAGGATTGAAGGAATGTGACAGTGCTTCTATATAGAGTTTCTCAATGAATGTGTTTATTGAATTGCAAGACTGTGAATCTGATTAATTATATGTAGTTTAAAGTGAAAAATATGACAATAATTGGTCAGAGTTAGAAATGTGCCGGGGGATTCTAATCCAATCCCATCAAGGTGGCATGTACCAATGCCATCTCACTAGTCAAAGTGATCAATTTCTGTTCACAGTTGATCATACTGATAGGTCTAAGAGTCAAAGGGATCACATAAACAAGACTAGTGTCTGCTAATACTAACTGATAGAATAAAAAAGGGAGAGAACAATCCAACATGGGAAGCAGGATACACAGCAGACTCATAGAATGGCAGATGTCCTAAACAGCACTCTGGCCTCAGAATCAGCCCTTAAGGCATTTGGATCCAGCTGAAAAGCCCATGAGAGTATTACAGGCATGGAAAGCCAAGACACTCTGGCAAAAAAAAAAAAAAAAAAAAAAACCCTAAATGAAAGATCTCTGTGAGTGAGATCCCAGTGGAAAGAATGGGCCATCAAAGAAGGAGATACCTTTCTCTGAAGGGAGGAGTGAACCTCCACTTTGACTATGACCTTGTCTAAATAAGAGTCGGCAAACTCAAAAGGCTTCCATAGCCTTGGCAACTCATGACAAGAGCCTAGGGTGATTACTGACACCATAAACAAGAGTGTCAATTTGTTAAGTCAACAACAGGAGTCACTGTGCACTTACTCCTCATGTGGGATCTCTGTCCTTAATGTGTTGTTCAATGTGAATTAATGCTATAACTAGTACTCAAACAGTATTTTACACTTTATGTTCTGTGTGGGCACAACTGTTGAAATCTTTACTTAATACATACTAAATTGATCTTCTGTATATAAAGAGAATTGAAAATGAATCTTGATGTGAATGGAATGGGAGAGGGAGCAGGAATTGGGAGGGTGATGGGCGGGAGGGAAGTTATGGGGGAAAAAAGCCATTGTAATCCATAAATTGTACTTTGGAAATTTATATTTGCTAAATAAAAGTTTTAAAAAAAGAATAATATAAAAGTAAATAATTAAACTAAATAACAAAAGAGAAAAAAAAGAAATTCTTTCAGTAGCAAATAAAAAAAACCAGATCAGCAGCTGCTAAAACTGCAAAACTGGTTATTATAGCAGAGTATCCTAAGTAGGGAGTCTATGGGAGGACTTCTCAGAGCTCCATAATGGAAGGACAACAGTTCAGAATACAGATTCCTACCTTATTCCTGTTTTCAAAAAGGGTACTTTCCCTGCCTTGTCAGTTTTTCCTGGTGTCTTAGCCTGTCTGGTATATGCTGTGCTAAGATACACTTTACTCCAGTCTGCACTAAGAGATTTCATGAATGATGAGATAGAATCATTTTGTACAAAAAGGTAAAATCACAGCTCTTACTCAGATATAAAATTGTTACATGTTAAAGTTTTTTAACTCATTAATTAAAGAGAGAAATAGGCAGATATTACAACAGGTTAAAAGGAGAAGTCAGAAAAAAAAAGGAGAAGTCAGAGAAGCACAATATTTTATAAGGAGTAAAGGAATATTGAAATGAACATGAAAATGTACATAAAACTGGGCTTCTCAACAGAAGGATAGCTGTCCTTCCTCAAGACAGAATTAATTTGCATTTCTATATACAGAATTATTTCTCATTACTTTCAGTTATCTGCAACCTGAAGTTGTAAAGTAGCTCCCATGGAATTAGAATAAGATGACTGGAAGGGTTTACTCCAAAGGTATAGTTTTCTCATTGAAATTTTTCCTACACACCCTTGCAAAAGATATATATTCAGTGCAATATGTTTAGAATTGTTGTAAGGACTAAATAATGCCATCTCTAGTAGTAGTTTTTTAAGTTGGTTGTGCATGCCACCACCAACACTGTCCTTATTTATTTCACATATTTATGATTTTATTTTCCCACTCAAACTTTAAATTTTTCCAATAATAGAATTTAAATGATCCATACCCTTTGTATCCTCCATCTCCTCTTCCTGTTCTTCCTATTTTCACCACCACTGTAGTGTTTTAATCTAAATTTATAATACTACTGATAAATGCTTGATGAATAAGGGGATGAATTAACTTGGCACCAAAGGAATATGTCTTCTCTGTAGCACTATTATAATTGTTAAAAATTTCAAGAGAAATCTCCATTTACTGTTAAGCTACGTTGATAGATGCTCACAGCATATTTTATTTAAATGTACATCCCTTGGATTATCCAGGTTGGTCATTGTGATTTGACTTTGTGCCTCCACAACCCAGTACTAATTTTTCATTATAGTAAAACCTCTGAATGTATGTGTATAGTACATATATTCATATATATAGCTTGGCTTTTACCTGAACCAATTTTTTCCTTTTATATTCTGTGTAATAATATGGTTGTTTTCAAGTTGGATATTTGAAAACACCAGGAAATCAGCTGTTTCAGTATATTACTGAAAGAACTTGTACTATAGTAAACATGCTTCATTTATCTCTGCTTCATGATCCCTAGGTCCTAACCCAAACCCACATCAAAAATTATGAACCAGGAAACAAACACAAGATCCTTCCATAGTTTGAAAATTTGAAGACCTTTAAATCCTTTCCTTTTTTTTTTTTTAGTCTTTTTTTATTTCCAGTTGGCCCATTTCTTATTTTTACAAAACTCTTTAATGTAGGAGACAAAGAGTAAACAGAATAATCTAACTATAACTGATTCCAAGATAGCTGAAGGTCCATTCTCAGTTTTTATGTATCATGGCTTTCCAAAGATACTCCAGTTTCATGTTAGACTATTCAGTAGCAGTAGACAAGCATCAATGTGTTCAAATTACATTTTCTCACCTGTTAGTAAATAATTAATTAAAGAATTCTAATGAGATGGGTTATAAGGGGAACATCACTTTCCTTCCATTTATTTTAAATGTTTTAAAAGAATTCACTGCTGCATAATATCCTAAAAGAAATTGATCATACTTTTCCTGTAATAAATGTTGTTCTGACAGTAAAGCATTAGTAACCAATTGATAACCTAGCAACAATATTGTGATCTCTTTAGATAATTAATCTTAGCTATTTTCCTGTCAGAAGCAACAGTGCTTGATTTTATGTTGAGCCAGAAAGATTGCCAGTTTTGAAAATTAAAAAGCATTCCTTTTATATTATTCATTCCAGTAACAATTTATGATGGCGCATTTAGCTGCTGAACGCTTGTCAACAAACGTAATTACGTTTCGATATAAACAAGATTGGTGGTTTTACTATGCAGCTCCATCTTTGTTGAGAATGTTTTGATTTAAGTTCAGATTATACAAGCTGTGTATTTATGTGTCATTTTTTCCCTCCTTTGTTAATAGTTTTTTCTGATAATTATTTGTAGGCAAACAAGCATGCATTTAGGATCCTTATGCACGGGAGATATCAAACGGAGGAGAAAAGCTGCACCTTTGCCTGGACCTACTGCAGCAGGTAAAAAAAAGGAGGTGTTGGAGTGGAGCTCCAGTGTAGAGTTCATAAATCATCAGGAGTAAAATAGATAATCTGTAAGCAGTGCAGTTGCAAGAAACAATTAAAACAAATCATTTGATTTTGGTGTCAGGTTGTATTACCTGTTCCTTCTGCAAATTTTCCAGGTAGCCAATCAATAAAGTATTTGCTACACACCTGCCCAAATGCAAGACTTTCTGTGAAGAAATAACAGATACAAAAATTTCAAAGGTTATATCTTTGGTCTTAGGAAATTTACAGACTTGTTGGGGAAATAGGCATATGTAGACAAAATGGTAATAAATAAAAAATTCAAAAGATAAAGCAGCAGCCTCAAAACACATGCCCCATGTAGCAGTAGTAGATGGGAACTTGGCTTATGCATGTGGCAGTCTAGTTTCTAATCCTGGCCACCCAGCGGTCTTAGATTCATCTTCCCTTATTTAGACATCATTAGCTTTAGGATAAAAGAAAATCTCATTTTTCCTGCAAAAGTTATCATTCTGATAACATGTAATTCTTATTATGTGCATGGTTTGGGAGAACACCACAAGTGTTAATAAGAGGGAAGTCAGTACAGACCAGAGGGAACTAGAAGCCTTTTGGAAATGGCAAAGACTTGTGCTTGGAAATGGAATATTGAGTAAGATTAATATGTAATGCAAGAGCAGTGGTAAGTGAGGCACAGTAACAGAAGGAAGTCACCTGGGCATTAATATGTACACAGTCACACAGGATTATAAAATAGTTAGCCATGATGGGTTTATGATGTAGCAAAATCTATGAGAAAATTCAGCCAAAGTGGATACTTGGTCAGTTAACTAAGAGTAACAACCTTGGCCTATTGCCTGGGATCCTTAACCATTCCAGGTTTATAAACTTTCACTTGACTTCCTTTCATCTGAGCAATCTTTTCTAAGAAAAATGATGTTAAATATAGACTATGAAAATAAGAACCATATCAATAGAATAAGCAGTGACAAGAAATAAATATATATGTGTATATAGATAGATTTTTCCTTTTCCTGCCTTTTTTTTTAAGATTTATTTGAGAGAGAGAGAGGGAGAGACAGAGATCTTCCATCCTCTGATTCACTCTCCAGATGGCTGCAATGGCCAAGGTTTGGCCAGGCCAAACCTGAAACCAAGAACTTCATCTGAGTTTCTCATAGGGGTGGCAGAGGCCCAAACACTTGAGCCATCTTCTGCTGCTTTCCCCAGGTACATTAACAAGGCGCTGTATCAGAAGTGGAGCAGCCGAGACTCTAACTGTCTCCCGTATGGGATGCCAGCATTGCAGGCAGTGACTTTACCTGCTACGCCACAATGCAGGCCCCTTTCTTTCTTTTCCTTCCTTTTTTGTTATTTCTGTTTTGTTGGCCTGGTTATTTTAAAGGAAGTAAAAGATGTAAAGCTTACATTCTCTGTTTAGGAAACCCATTGCATAGTTCAGCTCCAGAAAATTCAAGAATTACTTAAAATCGGAGGATTCCTTATGCAATTATTCCATATAAGGGGCTACACTAAAAAGGCATGCATTTAATCACAATATCTGCTCTTTATGCTTCTAGTGGTATGAAATTTCAGGATTTGGAATTGGGGAATGTTTTGTGTATATAGCACATTTGTGCTTATATAGAGTGATATTTACCACTTACTGGGGACCTGCTATATACCTGAAACTTTATGATTTTAGGTATATAACTCTATAAGCTAGATGTTGTTAATATTTTACAGATCAGAAAATTAAGGTGCAGGTTTAGGCTAGCTACCTAAGATGATATAATTATTGAATGGGAAGAGGAGATGCAAGCTTAGGTCAGTTATTCCTAACCCCCATGCTCTTTCCATAATAACATACTTACAGCCTCTTTGTGAGACTGTCCTATTGTTTTTGTTGATTTGAACTCACTGTTATGTGCATTGAATTGTATAGAAGATGTATTTAGCTATGATATATAGAAATACAGAATATTCATGAAACACTTTAGAAGTATCTATCTCTTCATAAAGAGATACACTCATCTAGCCCATTCTAGATCAAATACATAAGTTCTTTCCTTCAAATCTTTCATAAGGCAGGCGGAGGATTCTTTAACGTTCCCATTAAAGCTGAATGGTCCCCTGAATTCTCCTACCTTTCAGTGATTTCAAGCATTAGTGGCAAAGACAGCCCAAGAGCAGTCTGAGGCATGCTACTAGCACCATTGTGTCAGCAGTGAGTCAGGTCCAAACGCTCTGAACACCCATGAGGTGAGAAGGAAAATGCACAGTGGTTGAAGCGTGGGTAATATAATTATTTCTACCAGGCAGTTTTGGTGTTACAACTGAGTACCATCAGAGGAAAGCATCTATATGGAGTATGGGTACAAACATTAAATGTTAGCCTAAAACAGCTTTTTTTCATAAACTTTCACCAGCATATTTGAGATGTTACATCTCAAAATTGTCATGATTCTCTTAACAGTAAGAATTTTTATTACACTGCTGTATTTTTATTTAAAGATAAAATTTGTAGAAGTGTAATGCATTTTTAATTAACTCAAAAAGTACTGGAGGAGGTGAATGATATTACTGGTTTTCAACGTATTTTTTAAATCTATGCATAACTGCTTCTCTCAAAGAGGAAGAGATTGAGGTTATTTTAAAGTTCTCAGTTTTAAATAGGATATCTTCTAGCACTAATGAATCAACTCTAAGGTGAAGATTATTATCTGAATTCACATAAGAAATGCTTTTGCATAAATACACTTTGATAATGAGGTTATGGATCCTAGATCATCTTGCCTCTGAAGATTACAATTTTCAAATTCTGGAATATCCTCAGTCACATAATAAAGAATCTGTTATAATTTGTAAACCTCTGAAGTTAAGCTCACATGTAGAATTATTTTAAAGAATATTCTTGCCATTTTACAAGCCCTTGCAGACCTCTTAGAAAGCACATTAAATTGAATTGAGATATATCTTGCCTTTAGTCAACATTAAATCTAAGCTGCAAAAATACAGAGGAAGATAAAGCTCTCTCATTTGAAACAGGGAGTAAGAGTTAAAAGACTGACAGCTTGAATATGGTTTGGTAATTCCCTCCAATTGATATTTGAAATATTATACAAACAGCAGTTTTAGAAAAGGTATATCAGAAAAGAATGTTAGAAAATTGTATTTGGGCATTTTAACTTTATAATCCCAAACTAAGTTTGTATCATAATTTATGACCCTAAGGATAAATAATAATATATTATGTTCATAGTAAATATTTTTTTAAAAATCTAAGTCCCCACTGAACACAAAATCGGATCCAGTTTACCTGCCGATACTGAAAATGTTTCTGATCTTGTAGCAACAGCTTTGAAGCATAATTTTGCCACTTTACAATGCCCCAGACCAGCCGGCCTTGTTATCAGTTGAACATTTATTAATTGTGACAGGAACACCAAATTTATTTCAGTGCTTTAGCTTATTTACTGCTCTTTCACCTTTGTATTTTGTATTGACAAAGTAAAATGAATATTGATAAGGTTAGATATTGATTTTTTTTTTTTATGTATAGCTTGTTCTCTGCCTGAAAGTCACATACCAAAAGATAGTGGAGGTCTCAGTAGCAAAGGATGTAGATTTACTGTTATGAAATTGAGAACTACTGACTAGAAGGTTTGCCAGCAGAATGCATTTAATAGTTTGAAAAATGTCACCTGTAAAGGTGAAAAAAAGAGTAAGCAAAACAGGAGAAATATTATAAGCATTCTTAAAAAATAGTCAGCAGTATTGGTTATGGTCTATGTTTTAGGGAGAAGTCCGTTTACAAAGGATTTGGTATTAAAAGATCTAAGTATGTTTGTTGAGATATTGTGGCTACAGCTTTTTTGGTTTTATTTTGTTTTGTGAAGTACAGAGACAGAGAAAAACATAGAGAGACAGAGACTCCCATTTGTTGGGTCACTCCCCAGATGCCCACACAGCTGGAGTTAAGCCAGAGCAGGAGCCAGGAGCTGGGAGTGCAATGTTGAGCCATCACTGCTGCCTCCCAGGATCTATGTTGGCAGGGAGCCAGACCAGGACTTGAACCCAGATGCTCCAGTGTGGGATGCACACATCTTACATACTAGGCTAGATGATTCATTCCTATATTACTAAGTTTGAAACCAGAGTGTCTGAATGTACAGCAGAAGCCTAGGACATAAACAACCCTAAATACCTAGACACACACACCACCAAACCTCCCTTTATTTATGCATTTTAGTAGTCTTGAACAAGTCTCATTAGCATTCATGCTAGGGAACATTACAAACTGGTATTAAAAAAAAAAAAAACAGTCATTCCTGGCGATATGAAAAACTAAATAATCAGAAAAGATTTTAACTACAGGATAACTGGAAATGCTGAATAAAATGTATTACCATCTTTTTAGACGTGAAGCTGAGAATGCAGGAAAGACAAAGAAATGTTCAGATCTAAAATTGATACGAGGACCACATCCCCATGTCCACAAATACTGTGGCCCATCTCAGAAATCTGGAAATCTGTTTGTTAGAGCTCCCACGGGAAGAGAGCCAGATCTGGGAGCTGGATGTGAGGCTCCTTGTCAAGTCAAAACTTCCAGGAAGCTCCATCCTGGGAAATGAGCAGAGCAGAAACAAACCCCACCTATTTGCAAAAGGGGAAAATAAATAATGTTTTTACCTGGGCTCCATATAGAAAACTTATTAAAATTTGTAACCAACAAGTTATTCTCTCATGAGTCACTAGTTTAAAATTACATCACGTCAAAATATTGAGATAAAAACAGATCCCTGAAGCACATGTACATTGGAGGTACATGCCTTCAACCCAAACCTCACAGAACCACCACAAATAAAAACCTGCTGAAGATGATCTCATAAACCAAAACTGAAAAATGTTATACTAACAGTTTCAAAACTGAAAAGGAGGAGCCGGCATGTGGCAGAGCAGGTTAAGCCTGTCACCTGCCACTCCAGCAT